AGAAGTCTGCTCTGGCCCACGGCTCATCCTCCTCCGAGGAGTTGGTGTGGGTGTGAGCCGACGTTGTGGTCGAGAAGTCAAGGGCGAAACGTTGGTGGCATCCTGAGGGCTCCGTGTGAGCGGAAGCATAGGTGGAAGCGTAGGTGGCGATGGCATTTCTCAACCCGAAGGGGTACGGAGACGGTGCCATCGCCGGGCCTTGCTCCGCCGGAGTTGGCTCCTCAGGCGGTGGTGGTGCGGAACTTGATGACGGGGCATCGCTGCACGTCATCGGTGTCTTTCCCCTGCCCAAGCTTAGGCCAAACAGGTCCCCAACCAGGGACCTTGTGCCAACAGTCGGGCATGGGATACCGGCGGAGTGTGGCGCGTCACCCTGAGGTCGTGCAGCATCAGGGTGGTTTCGCTCGCGCCGTGCATGGCAAGCGCGACAAGAGCGGTGGCCCGGGCGCCGCCTGCGCTCGGGCTGCTGGTGCGCGATGCCGTCGTCGGCTAAAGGGGCTCTGGGTGGGAGGAGTACTAGGTCGTACTCACGTCCTAGAGGCATGAACTCTAGGCTCCCAAATTAGATCACCATGTCGAGACATAGTGGGCGTATGGGATCTGCCATCCGGAACTTGTTGAGACGGTTAAGCTAACACACAGTATACCCCTACCTGGCGCGCCAACTGTCGGTGTTTTGGACCGGGGGGTCCTCAACCAACCAGTGAATTTGAACTGCGTGCCCCTAATCCCGAATGGTGATGCAAAGAGACACAAGGTGTATACTGGTTCAGGCAATCGGTGCCCTACATCCAATCTGAGAGATCGGTCTTGTATTCCTTGCATCGAAGTGCTTGTAGTAGGGGGTTACAAGCTGGGCGAGAGAGGGAGTTGGTCCTAGGTCTCGGTGTGAAGTGGTGCGGGCTGCTTGAGACGTTGCTCTCAGACAGCGGGGGAGCGTGAGTCTATGCGAGTGTTTGTCTAACTTTCTCCCGTTGTGGGCCTATGTGTGCGTGTGAGCGCGTATGCGTGTGTGTCCGCGCCTGTCTAGAAATGGCCCCGACCTCTCCTTTTATAGTTGAAGGGAGGACAGGGGTGATACATGCGTTTGCTATGCAGTGGTCTTGCAAGCGAGGCGGCGTGCCTGAGCCCTGTAGCTTGCTACTGTGGTGGCATGGTCAATGGAGTGGTCTTGTCCTTGATTCACTAGAGCAACGCGCCGGTCACTCCCGATCTTGTGCGATGTGGGAGCCCCAGTGATAGCCTAGGGCAAGGGCATTGCCGACGATGTGCTGGTCACTGTGCGTTGATGGTGTAAAGAGCCGAGGCTCAGTTGGTGCCGAGGCCGAGCCGTCGCGAGGGGCTCGGCGGGCGTGAATCAGAGGCTACCGAGCCCCTGAAGTGGATTGCTGAGGCTTGGAGGGAGCAGTTGGTCCTATACACTGATTTTGAGGCTACAGTGACCCGGACTGGACTCCCCACGCCGCGCTGTTCCTGGGGCAGGTATTAGGTAGCACAGCGTAGTACGGCCGCCATTCATGGGTACAGTGCGGAGCACAGTGGTAGGTAATCCCTCGCCGCCCCATCTCTCGTCCCCGCCGGTCACTCAGGTATCAAGCGCCATCATGCGGTAACGTTATGGAGTGGTTGGGTGCGATAATCGGATGTGACGCTTTGTCAAGGAAGTCGATCGAGGCGGAGGCGACGAGGTCGTTGCCAAGCCGGCCTCGGGCGAATCGAAGAATCGGTAACCCGTCCGAGGCCTTGCGGGACGGGGCCTCGGGCGAGTCGGAGAATCGGCCGTGACCCTGTGATCGTCCTTTGGCATTGATATAAGCGAGGCCTAAGGACTCTTTTTGGTTCTTGCTTAGGGTATCCCCTTTTATGATATCCGACACCTCTCGACCGACCTCGACTATGGAGCACCAAGGGTCAGGGCGTACGACAAACAAGGAGCCGAGGCGTCCCTCGAAGATGCCATGGACCAGTTAGATGAAGCATGAAACATTACCTAGCAATGGCAAGGGGTCAGGGCCATGACATGAAGCTGTCCCTATTGACGTCCACAGGGTTGGTAGGACCCGCATAGAAGAGAAGAAGGACCCGGCGATCCTGAGGAACCTCTTCTCCTTCTCGTTCTCCCCTTTTCCCTCCACTGTAACCCCTGCTTTCCCTTGGCCTATAAAAGGGAAAGCTGGGCGTCCCATTAGGGGGCATCGGAACTCATCGCAACACACCATAGGAGACTCAAATTCAATCTACTCATCGAACCCCGAACATACAGCCGAGTAGCAATCGAGCTCTCGGCACCCATTCGTTTCTCTCACCAGAGACTTGGGACCTGTCCCTCTCTTGACCGTTTGTAACCCCTACTACGAACTTTCAGTGCTAGTAACACGAGCAGCAACAACGAACTGGACGTAGGGACATTCTGCCCGAACCAATATAAATCTCGTATCCTCTTAGCACACCATCCGAGCCAGACACACAATATTAGAAATTTACTTGTTGGTGGCAACTCGAAACACCGACACTAACTAAACTGACTTTGTGTCGGATCCCAGACAAGCCTGGAGCATTCTAAGCCTCCAATGTTTTTACAAATATCATTTGTGTCCTTTTATGTTTGATGCATTAGGTTATAGGAGTTGATTGAAAACACTTGATGCATATAACTTCCTTGTCCAGAAATATACCTTAAACCCTGTGTACGTTTAGGATCGAGTATATGCTTAGTCATGCTTAGCTCGGTAGAAGTCGGGTGATTTCCTGTCACTTGCGAGATATAGGTGGACACTAAACCACGGTTGGCTATATTTCCTATCGTGTAAAAGAACAATGGGATGTTGTAAATCGAGGTCGGACGGAGTCTATGTGTAGGTTGACTTATGTGATTCCGTCTGCGCCAATTAAGGACCGCAGCATTGGAGGCCCTCTTGTCATTTTGAACGCATGCCTCTCACTTAGCTAGCTGAATAACTCATTCCGACCGTGAAGTCGAGTAGCTCAACTCATGCCGGGCCTTGTTCTATCAAAGTGCACACTCTGGATGGCAATAAGGATGTGCGGGGAGTCATACGTGAGCCCAAGGGCAGGGTACTCCTGATTGTCCTGGCAGCTGGTTGTCCCTGGTTGTACGGCGCTGATCGAACCCGCAAAATGTGTACCTGAGCTGTACCAAATGTAACCTAAGACTACCTTGGCGCAGGTATGTTTAGGTTTGTGGTACGAATAAATTTCCAGCTAGTTACAATCGATTCGAATCGCCGTCTCTCCCGCATAGTGAGAAACTTGACGGAGCCCCTTCATCGTAGTAATTGGATTATGAAATATGATGGTTCTGATGAATATGAAAATCTTACACCGGCCATGGTTACTATTGTTAAGCTACTAAATGATATACTGCATGTTTGGCATAGGTTAGTTGCTAATCTAGAGATGAATAGCTATAATTAACTTGGTTACTGAATTATAAAATGTATAGCTCAACTAGTGGTTTTTATGCAAAATATTGTCAAGTTAGCTCCACTTATATAGCCGTGTATGATCCTTGGTGTTACTTTATTTTTGTTTTATGATGGGTAAGTCTAGCTGAGTACATTTGAGAACTTAGGGTTTATCCCACCATGTTGCAGGTGAAGTTCTCGGCCTGCTGAAGATGATGGCTAACCGCCAGTGTTCTTATCTATATGCTTTTGTCAGAGGATGTCATGTATGCTAGCAATGTATTTGGAACTTATATTATTGTAATCAGTTGAAAGCTATGTTGTTTTCACTAATCGGTATTGAAACCCAAACTTGTATTATTAGTTGTGAACTTATTGTAAACATTATTTCCGCTGCAACTCTGTGTATATGATGTGTATTTGTTTAATCATACGATCTTGGTTGTGATGTGGATTTACCGAAGTCCTTCGTGACACTTGGTGGACTACCGGGTTTATATAAGTGAAAGTATGTGCGTGTCAACGTGTTAAACGGGGACAGCCGTACTTGATCTTGTATAAATTGGGCGGTTCTGTCACACTCCGACCTCCCGCGGCGACGGCGCGGCCTCCCCGGCCTCGCTCGGTGGCGGCGCATCCTCCTTGACATCGCACGGCGACGCGCGACATCCGCGGCCTCCCCGGACCTCCATTACCAGCCCTGCACGCTCCAGAGGATGCCCTCTCCCTCCCATGGTATCAGGGCCCGAGGTGGTGCGGCTGCTCTTCTTGAGTTGTGGAAACAGTGCGGCTGCGTGGGGCTGGAAAAAGAAGAACGAAATTGCTGGCCGTGGAAGACCTCGCCGGAGAAGACAAGGCGCCGGCAGTGTGTTACGACAAAAATCGATGCACAACCGGAGGTTGAAGACGAGAGCAACAAAGTCATTTATGTTGCCTTCTCTGTTCGTGAATACGAGAAATGAATAAAATAATAGACACAGTGTGTTACGACAAATGTACACGATTTTGTAACGGTGCTTGATAAATTTCACTCGCTGCAGTGTTTATCAGCGTATTACGCATTTTAACGGTGTCCCTTAGCAAAATTTTCCGTCTAAATAAAGTTCAAAACGATTTCTTTCGGACGGAGGAAGCATTGTAACGTTATGTAAATCCAACCTTGGTCTTTTTTTTTTTAGATTATTAAATCCAACATTTGTTGGAACTTGGAAACGCTCGCCGAGTACGGTACCGTGTTGGTGGCTAGGTGTACTTGTGCCAATTTTTTGCGGTGAATTCAGGCGTCCAGCAGCTGCTATGCGTGTCACGGTTCACACAGACGAGAGACCATCAGATCACGGCTCCAGATCCGCCGTACGCACAAAGCTCCAGACCCCAGCACCAGCTGCCCTGCTCACTCGCCTTCGCCTCATAGGATGTACGCCCCTCTCCCTCCCTCCGCCTCCATCTCCTTCGCCACCAGACCCCAAGCGCTGCCCCACACGCCGCCGCACGCGCACGGGAGCCGCGCGCCGCACCCGCCGCCGCGCCTCCCCAAAACCCTAGGTCTCCCCTCTCCCCCGATCCAGCGCCCCCATGGCCGCGCCGCAGCCTGCCCCCCCCGCCCCCGAGGCGCCGCCGTCTGCGCAAGTGGTAAGCAGCCTCGCCGCTCTCCGGCCGAGATTTCAGTGGGATTCTCGCCGTGTTCCGGAAGCTGATCTAGTGTCTCTCTGTGCGAGCGCAGGTGGGCAACGCGTTCGTGCAGCAGTACTACCTCGTGCTGCACCAGTCGCCGGATCTGGTGTACCGCTTCTACCAGGACGCCAGCCGCCTCGCCCGCCCCGCATCCGCCGCCGGAGCCGCCGGCATGGACTCCGTCACCACCATGGAGGTGAGCCACCGCCCCCGCGCACCCAGATCTGGCGCTTTAGTTTCATTTCTGATCGCGATGCTGAGAGGTTTTGGGGGCCTGGTGCGGCTACGCAGGCGATCAGCGAGAAGATAATGGAGATGGACGTGTCGAAAGCGGAGATCAGGACGGTGGACTCGCAGGAGTCGCTAGGCGGCGGCGTCACTGTGCTAGTCACTGGCCACCTCACCGGCCGTGACGGAGTGCGCCGCGAGTTCTCGCAGTCCTTCTTCCTCGCGCCGCAGGAGAAGGGCTACTTCGTGCTCAACGACATCTTCCGCTTCGTTGGGGACATCCCTGCCCCTACCGCCGTTGAGGCGCAGCCGGAGGCGGATTCTGTAGTCCCGCCTGTGGCTGCTCCACTTGCCAACGGCACAGCTACTCCTGCTGTGGAGCCTGCCATTCCTGATGATCATGGTGTGTAAAGCAGAGCCTGCAGTTCAGTCGTATTTTTCACGAGGCAGATGATAACAACACTCTTCTTTCACTCTTTGTAGATACCGTGCCACAGCAGGAGCATCATGTTGTGGACCGATCACCGCCTCAACCTGAGGAGGAGGACGAGGCTGAGGTTTACAATCCGCCGCCAGAGGAAGTAGTGGATGAGGAACAACCTGTTCCTGAAGTGATAAATGAAGTTCCAAACAATGTGGCACCTGTGGTGGCAACTACAGTTGCCCCAGTGTTGCAGGAGGAGGCACCAAAGAAGTCATACGCCTCCATTGTAGGTTTTCAAAAGCAACTCCCTCATGTTTTAAACTCATTTGCTGCTTATGCATTTACGCCTGTTCATGGATGATGCAGTTTTAGCCATCTTGTTTATAACTTTATCCTATATGTTGTGCAATTTTTCTTTGCATGTCCACGGTTTAAAGATAAATGCTAGTCAATTCCAATATCTGTTGTTACATATGAACTTGGCTAATCTGGAACTGGAAGCATGATCCTGGACTCTGATCACTCTGGAAGATAGTTCATGTGATGTGCATGAGCATGATGTATGTCTTTAGTATCATGTAATTTCAGTCTGACAAGGAAACTGTAGTGCAAAAATTGTTATGCTTGTGGAGATGGTATTTGTTTGCTTTGAAATAACTGAATATCCTGTTGCCTGTTTGGTAGAAGGCGATTTATTTCCTCAACTGATGTTTCACTTTTTCCGCATTGTTTATTAACAAAATATTACAATTTCTCCTTGCTGTAGGTCAAAGTCATGAAAGAAGTTCCATTGCCTGCTCCTGCACCTCCTACTAGGCCTGCACCGCCCAAACCAGAGAAGCAGTCTCCTCCTGCTCCTCCTCCTGTCACAGATGTACCGCCTTTCAGTTCTAACCCTGACAACAGCAATGTCCAAGAGCCTGAAGGTGTTTCTTAAATCTAAGATTTCAGTTGGACCTTTTCATTGCACTAGCTTCTTGTAACTTTGCTTCTTTTTTTTTTCTTTTTTTTAAAGTTGATGCTCATGCAATATATGTGAGGAGTTTACCTTTAAATTCCACTGAAACTCAACTGGAGGATGAGTTCAAGAAGTTTGGTACCATTAAGCAAAATGGCATTCAAGTCAGAAGCAATAAGGTACCTTTTTTTCCCCTTGTACTGGCCTTGGAGATTCATTTTGCTTTTATTAACTTCAAAGTTTGACATCAATTTTTTTTCATATTTAAATGTAGATTCAAGGGTTCTGTTACGGATTCGTTGAATTTGAGGATTCTACTTCTGTCCAGAGTGCTATAGAGGTAATTTTGTTAAAGCAACCAACTCAATTTTTGTGTGTGCTGTTAGTTTGTTCATTTTATTTCTAACTGCATTACAACAGTATGGACATTATCTGGTGTACTAGTGCCATTAGTGTTCTTGTAGATTAATTAAAGCCCTTCTTATTTTACATCATTTTGGGAACATCACATCATGTATTCATTCTCTAGGAGATTGATTTCTGTATTGTGTTGATTTGGGTGAATATAAGTGTGAACTGTCTTGTGAGTAACCATTATTGTTGTGTTGATTATTCTGGACATTGACCCTTTTTTAATGCCTTACAGACAGTCAAATTGATTTTAAGTAAAAAGAATTCCTTTTAACATTGTTAGATAAGTTGCTTGTACCTGGTTTTGAATTCAACACCTTTATAGGAAATGGCAAATTCTTTTGTGGAAGTATTTTGTGCAGAATTTCCTGGGTTACAGACAGGCAAATATATGTAGATGGATAAACCCTTGTTCGGTTGCCTGTGGTTTACACATTGATTGATCATGTATGAACCTGAAAATTGCTTCTTGCAAATTTTCACATATAGGGTTCACTTGGTTTGTGCCCAAAGTCCCAATGGATATATCAGAGAAATGTTTTTTTTTTGTTTGATTGTGAATTCTGTCATTTGCTCTCTGTTCCCTGTGGTATATATTTATGCTATGTCTAGATGCTGATAATTTTCAGTTCACCTGTTCATATTGCTTGCACCATGATTTACTTTATATTCCTTAGCTATTCAAATATATGTTGAGATCTAGTACAGTACTGATAAGTTCTAAATGTAATATGTACAATGAATGAAATGTCCAGTCTTGTTCTGTTACTTTAGTGGTATCATTATGTAGTGCCTATCAGATCGAGGTGGATTTCTAAAAGTACTTTTGGTGATTGATTATCCAAGTTTAACTGCTTATGCTTTTGATTTACAGGCTTCCCCTGTAACCATTGGCGGTCGTCAATGTTACGTTGAGGAAAAGAGGACACCAGGTTCACGAGGTCAGTTTATATACAAATTTATACTTATGCAGTGTCTATGCCAGTTATATCATTGAGTCATGTGAATCTGATGACTCATCCTGGTACCAGTATGACTAACATTAAATGACTGATGATCCTGCTTTTTAGCATATGGATTATAGAATGGAGATGGGTGAACTAACCAGAATTCAGGTTATCTGTAGATCCATGATTAGAGTAGAGAATTGCTCGAATTCTCTCTTATATTATATAACACAAAAATATATTTGATCCACGGGAGTAAGCAAACTTAAGTCCACTTTTGGTTGCTACCTTGTTAACAAGGGCATGTCTGCATGGAGCTAGATTTTGTTGGGTATAACATGGGAGCATAATTTGTGAAGCTGCAAAAATTTGTTTGAAGGATCTCACTCTAGTACACCCAAATTTTCTCCCTTTAAATCTCATTGAGTGGTTATTATGGCAATTTATTCAGGTGGTTGGTATCTATTTCTTATACATGCTACTTAAGATTAACTCTTATTAAATGCCTCTTCCAATTCAATTCATATATTTCCTCCTTTCCTTTAGGCTCCAGCAGAGGTGGCAGGTTTGCACCAGGCAGGGGCAACAACTTCAGAAGTGAAGGTACCAGAGGCCGTGGTAACTACGGTGGAGGAAGGGGCTACGGGAGGGGTGAGTTCAGTTACAGGTCGGATTACGGGGGCAGAAGTGGTGGCAGAGGTGGCTCAGCACGTGGAGCTGATGTCGGTTACCAGAGGGTTGACCATGCTGGATATGCTGGTGGTCGTGGTGGCCGCACAGCAGCTGCTGGTGCACCTGCAAAATGAGGGACAACATATAGTTGTTGCACGTCTGTTGAGAGTGTCGTTCGGTGGCCCTCAGATTGTTTTGAAGTTGGCATAGAGCTTCATCAATTGGTTGAGTTCGGGATTACCAGAAAAGACTGGATACAAATTATGAGGGTTCCTGTTCTTGATCATTATTTTTGCAGGCAACAAAAGCGAAAAAAGTGATTACTAATTGAGTAATTGTAGATTAGACACCTATTCAGATGTAGTTCTAGTTTTGGTCGTCGGCTGATGTGCCTTTTTGTCATTTTTGCAACGCATCATCTAGGTTTTGTTTCTGCTAGTATTCATTTATTGTGTCGATTTGAGTTAATAGGCTTTTTTTTTGGACTGTTGGAATAAGTGACATTTTAGAGTAGTTAATAGTAGCTAGGGGAGGATTTACATGTTTATTTGCAATATGTCGACGCCAAATGACTCTCTTAGTCTTTATACTGATAATGGTCATTTTCTGAATTTGCTATTCACTGGTTGTTCCACTGTTGATCTGGTGATTGTTTTCTTGAGTTACACTTTTGATGGGTCATTTTCATTTAAAGATGGAACAGATGAATTTTACAAGTTCTTGTTTACATGGTCCTGACTGGCAGACTTGCTAATTTCATATAGTTTAACAAGATAGAATTATTATTCTGAAAATATTTCTTGTGACAAGTACGAATCTGAGACATGCTTCTCAAGAAGATCAGTCCCTCTAGGTCCATTTTCACGCACCGTGTCAGTTGTTTCACATTATCAAAACACCGTTTTGCATTCTCATCTGAGTCCTCCTAGTGGATAAACATGTATCAAACTAAGGCCACCCACGATACATTGCATAGCATGATGACGTAATAAATAGTGGAAGAGTTGGTCCTTGAAGTCTCTTCCCTGGCTAGACCTCCTGGCTGTGGTCAGCATACTCATCTCCTTCCTCTATGTTTTTTAATCTTTGGTCCTGTTTGACATAGCTTACAATAGCTTCATAAGTGAAGCTGTTTTTCTCTTCACATAGATATGAGTTAGGATAAAGTTGAAAAAAAGTAGCTTATCTCAGCTTTCTCTTATTCATGCTTGAAGCTGTTGGTGAAGCTGTTTTGCCAAATAATTTTTTCAAAACATAGTCCAACTTTACCTAGAAAGTTGCTCATGAAGCTATTTTCACCTTTAGTAGTGAAGCTAAGCTATGTCAAACGGGGCCTTTATTTTATATGCAAGGACACTAAAATGAAGATTTAATATTTTATTTTTTGTTTCTAGACCAGTCTAATTTGGACTATCTTTGAATATAACTCATAATTTTGTTTTTCATGCATATTTTGTTGTATTATAATTTGTTTTTGTCTCCCGTTGAAAAAATCCAGCCGCCGCCATTTCCCTCTCGATGCCGGGCCGGCGATGCGCCGACGCTTGCGGATCTGCCGGCCTGCCGCGGTAGCCTTCTGTCTGTCGCGGCTCATCAGCTTCTCTCGATGTCGTATTGGGCCGTCTATGGGCCGAGCGCACGACGATATTGGCCCCTTCGTTTTCATCTCGTTCAATATCGCTGAATCCCTCAGAAATCGGCAGAGTACCTCAGAAATTTCCGTACAAAACCCTAAACCCCACGAAGACCCCAAAACCAAGAACGCGATTTCCTCCTCCATTCCCCTTTTCTTCCCTATATCCAATCGGTCTCCAATCAGCTATGCATGGATGAGCGTAATCAATAGATCCGCAATCTAGATTTGGTGCAATAGCTCCCGCACGGACCGGAAGGAGGAGCGCAAGTCGGGGAAGGAGGCACCTGGGGCTCGCGGGGCAAGATGAGCACCGTGGACAAGATGCTGGTCAAGGGGATTCGGAGCTTCGATCCGGACAATAAGAACGTCATCACCTTCTTCAAGCCGCTCACCCTCATAGTCGGCCCCAACGGTGCTGGCAAGACCGTATGTGTTTTGATTACACACCCCTAAATCCCAGCCCCTGCACCCATCAGATTAGTCGTTCCCGGATTGATTTTTGTGTTTTCTATTCTGTTTCTTTTGCAGACGATCATCGAGTGCCTGAAGCTTTCTTGCACCGGCGAGCTGCCCCCCAACTCCCGCTCTGGCCACACCTTCGTCCACGACCCCAAGGTGATATGCTCGGTTTTCATACCCATTAGTCATGAACTTCTCAATATCACGGTCTTGGGTTCTGTCGCGTGGCCAGCAAAGAAGGGGGGCTTTGCTTTATCTTGGGTTTTGGGGTGCAGGCGTTTCAGAATTTGAGAACTGTGGTTAATGTGGATGTAACTGCAGCTCTGTAATCTGTTTTGAGGATTTATTGTCCTGTACAATGCAGGTGTCTGGTGAGACGGAAACAAAAGGACAGATTAAGCTGCGGTTTAAGACTGCAGCAGGAAAGGATGTGGTGTGCATCCGGTCCTTCCAGCTTACCCAAAAGGCATCAAAGATGGAGTTTAAGGCAATTGAAAGCGTCCTCCAGACTATAAATCCACACACAGGGGAGGTCTGCACATTTTCCTTTTTTTTTCAATTTAGTTCATTGGTGTCCATTTGATCTTTTCATTTTTAGTTTATAAAATCTACTGTGGCATATAATAGTTTTAAGAGAGAGCGACATTTACAATGCATTGTTTTGAAAACCCCAGGGTAACAAATAGCTGAACAACTCTTCATGAAACAGCAACATGTTGCAATGCAGGGGTGGAGCAAGGGCCCGTGCTGCCAGGGTTGCTGCACTTGCCTTGCCGGTAGAATCCCTAAGAGAAACATAAGCCTAAAAATCACCCGTAGGAGAAAAATAAGCCTCAAATCAAATTTAATCCATTTTCAATCAATCCAGCACCTCTTGTCTAGTCTAGGACCCCCTGTCCAGCTTGTATGGCAGACTGGTACTCTTTCTCCACCACCGTTGTGATGTGTACTGTCTACCTTACTTTATTGCGTCATGGAAATAACTGCATTTTTCTTATGACACTAAATTAACCAAATAGGAATCTATTGCATCAATTTCTGTTCCTAGCTACAGTCTCATGATAATATTCTAAGTTACGAGAGGTATGTATCACATCATGCCAGCCCCCATATGCTTTATATAGATCACACTCAATGTTCAAAAAGGCGCTCGCCTGGGCGCGCTTCAACGCTAGTTGGAGGGGCACCGCCTTGCCTAAGGGGGTAGGCGGAGGTTAGGCGGTGTGCCCCTAGATCCAGGGCTGCGCGAGGGTTGACGGGAGGCGGCGAGCGCGCCAGGAGGCTAAAGGCGGGCGTGGGGGCGGCGTGGACGTCGGGCGACGATGGGGAAGGAGCTACGTGAGGCAGCGGCGGCCGGTGGGAAGAGGCGGTGGCGGCGCAGATCCGCCAAGGCAGGGACGCGTGGGGGCGGCGCGGACGTTGGGCGGCGGTGGGGGAGGAGGTAACGTCGGCGGGGGCGGCGACGACCGGTGGGGAAGGAGGCGACGTCGGGCGCTGGCGGCGGCGTGGGCGAGCGACGGGCACGGTCGCGCGGGCAGATGACCATGGGAGAGTTGGGCCATGACCACTGATCTCCTATTTTTTCTTTTCTTTTAAGTATTTATGCATGTATTAGCCATCGCCTAGAAAAACGCCTAGGCTAGCCTAGGCTCTAGGCCGTGGGTCGTCGCCTAGAAACCGCCTAGTGCCTTCTTGAACTTTGATCACACTTGCTGCTAGCGAATAGGGTTAGGTAATGTGTTTGATCTCAATTCGTTCTCTGTCAAAACATAATGAAATACTATTTTTCTCCTGTCATGTTGATGCACATAAAAGATTCCTACGTGTTCGAGAAAAAATGCATGTAAAAGGTATTTAATTGATGAAATAATGAAAATATCTTGCGAATCATGTAAAATTTCCAGTATCTGAAGGGAAATATCTTTCATTTCTTTGGTCTTTGGTCATATAAAAATAACTTCATCTAGCACGCTTCTATGCCTTTTGTATCTTTGTATTTACATAGCGGTGATTTGGTTGCACAAATAAATTATGAAATCCTTGTCTTCAGGCAATGGAATTTTGACACTTGTTATTTGGGACTGTTGTTGATTGTAACTTGTAGTAAGTTCTATGGAACAACATTTGTTTTTCGCTAACACTGTACTAGTGTTTACTATTTCGGCGTCAAATGTTCAGTTTATTCATTGACACATCAATTTTACAATTGGTTATATTTTAGTACAGAAGGTCTGCCTCAGCTACAGATGTGCGGACATGGATAGAGAGATTCCTGCCTTAATGGGTGTTTCTAAGGCTGTACTGGAGAATGTTATATTTGTTCACCAAGATGAATCCAATTGGCCATTGCAGGACCCGTCAACACTTAAGAAGAAGTTTGATGACATCTTCTCTGCCACCCGGTACTTGAGAGAACTACCACTCCCATTCCAAATTATAGTTCACTTTAGCTTTGTCCCAGGTCAAACTTTACTGAGCAAGTTTTTAGAAAAATATATTAGCATCTACGATACCAAACAAAATATACTATGAAGACATATTTCGTGGTAGATTTAATGAAATTAATTTGATGTTGATGATGTTTGTGCATTTTTTTCTACTATAAACCTGGTCAAAGTTAGAGAAGTTTGACTTAGTGCAAAGCCAAAGTGAACTATAATTTGAACGGAGAGAATACTGTTTAGTATACTTAAGAAGCTTTGAGCAACACCAAATTATTTCTTAGTTGAAACTATGGCCACCTGTTTGAAATATGCACTGTAGCAGAGCCGAGGGAGCCCAAAAATATTGGCTTCGGCGGCTCTTGCTGTCAGCCAGCTGATTGTGAGTGGAGCCAGAGCTGCTGCACAGTGCAGAAAAAGTAACAGGTGTTGAAAAGCCAGAGCTTGGCCAATCGAGCCCTAAATAATGCTTGTTCATGGTCAATGACTTGATGCCATTTTTCATAATTATGATCTGATTCCTTATTTTCCAAATTCAAGTACAGCTATACCAAAGCTCTTGAAGTCATAAAGAAACTTCACAAGGATCAAATGCAAGAGATCAAGACTTTTAGGTTAAAGCTAGAGAACCTTCAGACTGTAAAAGACCAAGCACATAAGGTACTGTTTTTTCACTAGATGTTATGATCCTTAGATCATTTGGGGGTAACCATTGCTATGAAGATGTCCGGCAAAGTCGGCGTGGAGGGAGACTAAAGTAATTTGGGGGAATTGGATTAATTCTTCTTCATTGCCTGATTGAAAGGAGATACGATCCCATCCTTATATGGATGAGAGGAGACTTGATCCCTAAGAAATTAATCTTTAGAAATAAGGAATTAATCTGATCTAATCTAATCTCTTTCCTAATCCTTATCCCTTGCCATGAGAGGCAGGTGGGCTGTCCCTCTGGCCACCCATGACACTAGTCTAGAACTCTAGATTTCCACTTCTCCTCCTCCTCTCTCTGTCTTGGTCTTGTGATTCTTTGATACAACATATAATAATAACATTTCTTTGAAGATGAATTGTTAGGGGCAATAAGGGGTCACATGACTTGTGCCTCCGGACCAAAAATGTTTGCGATATTTTAGCCTGTAGGTTTTACCCTTGGAATCTTAATCAAAATTTATTTAATTTATGAGTACTTTTAGTAGATTCTAAATTATTCTGAATATTTGATAATTTTTAAACAATTTGCATATTTGACAATGGACAAATTAAAACAAATTTGTGATTATGTTTGACAGAAAAATAGTAAAATCTTATTTCTTAACTTGTGGGAATTAGTTTGATGGCAAACTGATTCAATTCTACATTATTTGCAGTTTTGCACATGTAAGTTAGCTCTGCATTCTTCCATATTTCCGTTTTCTGTTTCCTATTCTAAATTGTAGACTGACATAGTGTTGTACTGATGGTTACTGTTGTTATTGAGTTATCTCTTCTGTTAATCCACTTGTTCTTGCTCCTATTTCTTTCAGCTCAGTTCCATTTCAAGGTAGTTCTTTTGAAAAAAATGGTGTTTGTTTAACAACAGATTTCTTACAGCAAAGCTGAACACATTTTACACATATGTGGAGTTTAGTTTAGAGGTAGAACTGTTCCATTCATTCCAATTACTTTTGCAGCTGCGTGAAAATATTGCTCAAGATCAAGAAAAGTCAGATGCCTCAAAATCTCAGATGGAGCAACTGAAGGAAAAGATCCGTGGTATCGAGAGCGAAATCCTGCAAATGGAAACACGTTTGGATGAATTGAGAAGACTTCAGGGGCAAATTAACACCAAGGCAACGGAGAGAAGTACATTATTTACGCTTCAGCAGCAACAGTATGCTGCACTTTCTGAGGAAAATGAAGGTAAAGTTCAACCACTTGTATTCCCTTGTTCCCAATAGTTTTCCCCAACATGATAACAGCTGAATATTGTTTTGTTTAGATACTGATGAGGAACTAATGGAATGGCAAACAAAATTTGAAGAAAGGATCGTGTTACTAGAAACAAAAATCAGTAAACTTGGAAGAGATATGGAAGATGAAGCATCAAATAGCTCCCGTCTGTCCAAACAATATTCTGAATTAACACATGATATAGGAAAGCTCCAGGCAGAAGCTGATGTAATCCTTTCTTCTATGTTTACCTGCCGACATTTCTCTTTCTTTTGTTCACTATAGTGGAGTTTAATTCGTGTTTATTGTTTTCAGGCTCACCAGAATATGAAGGATGAACGAGATATGGACATAAAAAATATATTCACTAAACATAATCTTGGGCCGGTTCCTGAATCTCCCTTTACGAATGATGTTGCTATGGACCTTACAAACATGATTAAAGCGAGACTCTCAAATCTTGAGAATGATTTGCAGGAGAAGAAGGTTTCCTCTCTTCTTTTTGGAATTGCTTCTGATGTATACTTTTACCAAACCATTCTAAAAATGAAATTTCTATTGAGTTATCCACATTGCACACCTGCTTTATTCTGCACCCTTCTCGTTTGCAGTTGAGTTCTCTTTTTCGCTTGTCTTCTCAGTGGTTGGATGCACAATTCATGTGTGAAGTGATTTTTAATGAGGAAGGATGCTACTTTATTTCATTATTAAAAGCATCTGTCCCTGTACATTCAGGTTTCATTATTAAAAAGTACTTACTAATTATGGCTGTTCTCTTTTCTTGAGCAGAAATCCAATGAAGATCAGTTAGATGTTTTGTGGAAACGCTATCTTAAAATAAATGCTCGGTACTCTGAAGTTGATGGTCAGATACAATCTAAGACTGAATCCATGGTTAGTGATGGAAAGAACATTGGACTTCCCTACACCAGTAGGCTCTTCCATAACTTATATTTTAGGCACCATTTCCTAATATATTGAGTAATTTTCAGTCAGGCATTTTAAGACGGAGAAAAGATAAAGAGAAAGAACGTGATGCTGCAGAAGTGGAGCTTTCAAAACTTAATCTGCCCCGTATTGATGAGAGGGAGAGATATATGGTATTTGTTTTACCTGTCAGATATGCCTGGCTGTTTTGAAAAGTTCATTTGTTTGCTTCCAATTCTATACAAAAATATTGGAAGTCTGACAGCATTTCATAATTTTGAATCTCAGATCAGTTTCTTAGCTCTGGTTTCTGGTATTCTGTCTGAGTGGTTTTGATTTGTGCTGTTAATATGCGAATGAATCTGGTTGGTTTGCATCCAGTTCCTACCTGGGATGGCTTGTGTGAAGTCAGTACCATTTTGAATCACTGTTTTGTAAATTTGATTTGATTTGAGAAATTGGGTGTTCTGAGGCCGATCCCTCTGAGAAACTCGGCTGGCAGCAGTAACTGGCCAGTTACCATTGCGATTTGATCTTTTGAAACCTTCAGTTTCATCACAACTGCTTAGAGACGTGGCGTTTAATGGATCTTGCATACTTGGCACCTGCATTCCTTTACATTCTCTACTTTCTCTTTGGAGTATGGAGTTTTCTTAATTTTGTAAGTAATTTGTTTTATTTTCTTTCCAAATAGCAAATTGAAGTTGAGAGGAAGACACTTGCCCTTGGAGAAAGAGACTATGATTCAATTATAAATCAGAAACGAACAGAAATGTTTAGTTTGGATCAGAAAATAAAAGTACTTCAGCGGGAGAAAGATACAATAAATAGAAATGCTGATGAAAGAGTAAAACTGGGTTTGAAGAAGGATGCATTGGAAAGCAGCAAGGATAAGCTCAATGAGATGCATGTTTCATTCCTTTCTCTTTTTGTTTTATGTATTATCAATTTTATATGTATATTGTTACTCATTCCCTCTTCATATTATTAAAAAAATCATTTAACTTTTGGATTGTAAAATGCAGAGTTAATGAGCATAAGGACAAAATCAGAAGGGTTCTTAGGGGGAGGCTTCCTTCTGAGAAGGATATGAAGAAGGAGATCAATCAAGCCTTTTGGTTTGTCATAGTTACTCTTGTTAATTATATTCAATGTGCAACTTCACTTTCAAGAGCATAATAACTTAATAAGTCCTACAATTCTGTACTCATGTTATTAATCTTAATTTTATTTACCTATGCAAAAACTGTAATTGTAATAACAGGTTTTGCATAGACAACTGGATGGGTAGCACTAGCATCCTCATTTGTGTTCACTTCCATTAATTCTGTATCTTGAATACAAACTCAATACATATACAAGTTGGTTATAGACAGAAACATGCATTCTCGTGTCCGTTAGCATCTGTAGTTTACTCATCAATTTTTGATTTAGAGTTTAGGCCTGCATGGATTCAACTTATTGAATTATTATGCATTGAAATCGCCATAAAAAAATGCTACTGTTAGGAACATTGCTTGGGCTAAAGGTATGTGCCTATAAATGAAGGCAAATAGACCTAAAATCCATAGAAAAGTACCCGTATAATGCTATAACATAATCTCTTATAGTTACAGTAGTGCATTTGACACTTTATTTGTTGTTTCTGCATCTACTGATTAGTGATGACACCATTGAGTCTGCTTACTCAGGCCTGTGGACAAGGAATACAATGAGTTAAAATCAAAATCCCAGGAAGCAGAGCAAGAACTTAAATTGACTCAGAGCAAAGTAACTGATGCTAGAGAACAATTGACAAAACTTCGAAGAGAGATGGATGGTAAGATCTTATCACCGGACATGTTTACTGGTTTAATACCAAGTTGGCAAATTTAAAAAGGTTCACCATGTTTTGAATTTTGGAAATTTATTAGAGGAGTGGGGCCTGTGGGGGGATTATTTGGTTGGTCTTGCCTGAAGCTTTCCCTGGAGAAGAAAACTACTTTGAAACAATTAGGTGGCCCAAAGCCATCTTACGACTACAAGCAAGAGCTGGCAGAGGCGCATTGTTCTTTACATTTTTGAAATGTCTGTTGGGGGAGCAAGGCTTACATTCGCCGCCTTCTGGGCTTGCTGTAGTGAGGTGTGTTTGATGTGGGCAAAATTTGGAAACTTACTGTCAGTACTTGTCAAATTTGTTTTGTAAACATAAAGATCATATGTGTATATTTGTCTTGAAAAAGTACTTTCAATCTCATACATTTATTAAATATCTTAACTATTTTGATTTTCTAATAAAAGATATTGGTTAATGTTGCACCTCAAATGCTGTGAAAATCAACGTCAAGTATTTTTTTAACGGAGGGAGTATCTTAAAAGTATAGCTTTACTGAGAATTTTCTGTTCAATGCACCTCGCTGCAGATGCATACTGTAAATATTTTTGGTTCCTATTGTTATGCTGCAATCACTTCATTTGATACAGTAGAATTTTTGTCAAAAAAAAACTGTGGAAGCATATTTTGTGTAACAGTGTTATGTATGTGAATTGTTCTTAGGTACAAATATAAAATGCAGTTTAAAACTGCATGTTGGTTTATTTGTCTGTTGCTTAAATACTGTGCTATTCCTTTGACCAACATGTATATGCCGTTCACATTTGACATTTTTATACAGCAAAGAGAAGATTCCTGGAATCGAAACTTCAATCTATTTTACAGATATCTGCTAACGTTGACATGTTTCCCAAGGTTCTGCAAGATGCCATGAACAAAAGAGATGAGCAGAAAAGGTTGATATCCAAGTTTATACTATTCTGTTGAAGTTGTCCTCGGGATACTTATATTAAATGATTTCTTCCATGCCCAGATTAGAGAATTTTGCAAATGGAATGCGGGAAATGCTTGCACCTTTTGAACATTTGGCTCGTCAGAATCATGTATGTCCATGCTGTGAACGTGCTTTTACACCCGATGAGGAGGATGAGTTTGTGAAGAAAGTAGGTGACAAAATAATCAAAGATGTTCTTTCTGTTTAAAAGTCAAATGTTGGACTTGTTCACTGATGTTGCTTTCTGCTGTCTATCTCAGCAAAGGATGCAAAACTCAAGTACTGCAGAGAGATCTAAAGCTCTGGCAATGAAATCATCAGATGCTGAAGCCATTTTTCAGCAATTGGATAAACTTCGTACTATCTATGATGCTTACATGAAGCTGGTAGAAGAAACCATACCTCTAGCAGAGAAAAATTTGAATCAACATTTGGCGGATGAAAGTCAGAAGGCGCAGACATTTGATGATGTTAGTTCTGTTATTAACACCATCCACTTTCAATTCTCGCACACAATTGTAGGCAGTAGAGCAAAGAGGACTTGGGCTATTTTTCTCTGATTGAAACAACTCCAAACAGGATGTCACCGCTGTTGTCTTTTTAAGTGCTTAATACCCTTTCAAACTAGTCTATGTGACAGTCATGATTTAATTGGCCAAGGTAGAAAAAAACTGCTGGTTGACTAGCTAAAGCGGACGGTTTATGCACCTGCTTTTCCTCTTCACAGTTTGAAACTAAAAGTTTCAAGGTTGATATTTTGATCATGTATTTAAGTAAAGGGACATCTATTCTTTAAAAATATGGGATAAAATGCTGTCAATCAGGTCATGTACAATTCATTAAAAAGGGACAAATTCTGCCTTTGCCATTTTCTTGAAACCTCTGGTGTGCTTGACTAGGCACAATGTCTAGCTTGAAGCTGCATTAAGTTTTGTGGAAATCTTTTACGCAGCTAAAGTTAGCTGATGTCATACTATTTTGCTTGGCAGAGATAGGAACACTTTTATTTTAGAGAACATGATCTCAATCCTCTGAACACATTACAGCTGCATCGCTTCCTGACAAATTAGATCCTTTCACTTTTATGTAGATCTAGCAGCGGAATCATCTGTTGTTATAATATTATTTTATTGAGAATGCTGTGTATCATTTATTTCAAAACTTTACCTTCTATGTTTTGCCAATACTTTCGTCTTTGGTGAAAAGTACTTTTCTGTATATCTTCTATAATGTGATGCCTTGTTGCAGCTTTTGGGTGTTCTTGCCCAAGTTAAAATGGACAGGGATGCAGTGGAAGCCCTGTTACAACCCACTGATACTATTGACAGGCATGTACGTGAAATACAACAGCTAGTCCAAGAAGTAGAAGATCTTGAATATACACTTGATTCTAGTGGGCAAGGTGTCAAGTCTTTGGAGGAAATTCAACTGGAGCTGAACTCTCTGCAGAGAACAAGGTACTCGATAGGATTCCATTATAAATGCTATGAGCTATTTTAGAAAAATGATGTTCAAGGTACCAAGTTCAAAAGATAATTTTGGTGTACTCCCTCCGTCCACAAAAGCAATTCTCGCTTTTCGAGAAGTCAAACAGTTTGAACGTTGACTAAATTTATATAGAAAAGTACTAACACTAATGATACAAAATAAGTACCATTAGATTAGTTGTAGAATATATTTTCATAATAAATTTATTTGGAGCCATAAATGCTAATACTATTTACTATAAACTTGGTCAAACATGAGCTAGTTTGACCAACACGGTTCCCATAATCGCATTCTTTTGCGGACGGAGGGAGTACATCCTATCATTGGGCTAGAAAAGTGAAGTTTCATGTCCGCTTTCCAGCCCCTTCTAGCATTACTACTTGTTAAGGAAAACAAAGTATAGGGTTTCAGACCCAATATAATTAAGCTTATCAATCCTATGGGTGACTTGGATTGGGTCAAATCAGCATGATCTAAAAAGATGCGACATCTGCCTAATTAAATTTTGCTCTATTTCCTTATGGGCATATGGCTCGTTTATGCATTTAACTCAATTCTTGCTTTAGCAGTATTATATCTTGGTAATTTCGCTTTGTTGCTACTGAATTGGAGTAAAATTCTCATATCTGAATTCTTTTTAATAAAGCATAAAATGGTTGATTTTGACAAGGTGTATAAATGGTCTCATTTAGTGTTCAGTGCTTCAAATTCATTCCACTGTGTTGGCCCTGCTTGTTGGCATTGACAATAAGAGAGGAAATTACAGCTTTTTTGTTCAAAATTAATATTGAAAGAAGTGGGCAATCTCTTCAACCTGCCCAACACCTAGGGCATTAGAGCATCTCCAAGAGTACCCAATATTTTCTTCCTAAAAACATAAAGTTTTACAACTCCTAAAAAAGTATTGGAAGGAATAAAGAAGGTTATCTCCAAGAGTTTCAAATAATTCACTCCTAAAATATAGAAGACAATTTTACATTAGGAATCCTATACTATTTCTAAATTATCCTAACCACTTTTATATATTCTTTCTCTCTTGTACATTTGCATCAGGAACCCTTTCCTACTCTTTATTCTTTCCACACCCTTCCACCTTTTGATTGGCCGACAAAGTACAAACACGCGCAGGAGGGAGAAGATACGCGCGACTCGGAAGCGCGTAACTTTACGCGGAATAGGGTGACTTTTCCCAAGTTCTAAACAAAGTTCAAGAAGGCGCTAGGCGGTTTCTAGGCGACGACCCACGGCCTAGAGCCTAGGCGAGCCTAGGCGTTTTTCTAGGCGATGGCTAATACATGCATAAATACTTAAAAGAAAAGAAAAATAGGAGATCAAGGTCACTAACAGGAGATCTCCAAGAGGCCCATCTAAGGGCCCAAATCTCCATGGTCATTTTAGCAAGATAAAAAACCACCCAACAACTCCTAATCCCTCCTCCCCATCTTTTAGAACCAACGCTCAAAAAGGCCCATCGCCGCATGACGTCGCTTGCTTCCCCACGCTTCCCCGCTTGGCGCGAATCTGCCCGCCGCCACCACCTCTTCCCACCTTCCGGGTAGCCGGAGGTTACGTAGCTCCTTCCCCATCGTGTCTCGCGGACCTCCACGCCGGAGGCGCCTTTTAGCCTCCTGGGCCTTTAAAGGCGGGCCGTCGACCCTCGCGCAGGCCTGGACATGGGGGCACACCGCCTAACCTCCGCCTACCCCCTTAGGCGAGGTGTTGCCCTTCCGCCTAGCGTTGAAGCGCGCCCAAGCGAGCCTAGGCCAGCGCCTTTTTGAACGTTGGTTCTAAAAGATTAGGAGGATGGATTAGGAGTTGTTGGAGTGGTTTTTTTATCTTGCTAAAAACCAAGGATTAGGAAGGGATTTAGGGAACTCTTGGAGATGCTCTTATAGTGGTTCTTGTCAGCTATCTTTTAGTTCGCTTCATGGCATTGCCACATAGGACTTTGGGTGATGTGGAGATTGGTGATAAAAAGAGGTTGCTGTCTTGAAGAACAGCTGTCTCTGCAGTGCCTGTTTAGCACTAAGCAACAGTGCATGCACAATAGTAGGGAGGTTAGCCATTGGATGCTGCATGCATAAATTAAGGAATTATGTACACATTAAGACCAGTAAGATACAGTTTAATAGGCAACACATTGTTAGGATTGTCTGTTAAGTCATCTCTTAGATTACTTGGATGCAGAGAGGGAGAGGGAGAGGTTCTATGGCCAGCTATAAAATTGACTTGAAATTTACGATGATGAACACTAAGATTTACTACAGCTTCCCCAAGTGATTTACTATATGTCGTGCATCATGCATGTGAACCATTAGTTAAAGAGTGCTATTATATCCCAAGACAAATCTTCATTAGATATTTGTAGCTAGTTATCCATATTTCCACTGATACACACAAATGAGCACACAAACTGTATCTTTTCAGTTATGTTTTGAACTTTTGATACTGCAATATTATATTTGGGTGTTAGATACTTTATAATTCTTCAAAATATCCTCTCCTTTCTGCAGTAAATAATGATGCCCCTTTTTGACTTATGCTTGGAACTTGGAAGCTGGATTATGTCTGATGTGACCATCTGTTGCAGGGACACATTGAGTATCGAAGTGGATGATCTTAGGGATCAGCATAGAATTCTAAATGAAGATCTGTCAACTGCTCAGGTGAGATGGCACACTGCTCGGGAAGTGAAGGTGAAAGCTTCAAACATATTGGAAAGATTCCAAAAATCTGAAAAGGAATTGGTGGTTCTAGCTGAGGAAAAAGAACAGCTGATCGTAGAAAAGAAGGTAGGTACTCACTGTTTCCTTTTATAAGCAATATCAGTCAGTTGACTACCGTTTTCTTTGCTCAAGTTTATCTCCTTAGTTCTTACTGTTGCAACATGGGCAAAACTTAGACAGGGTTGCCCTTGATCGCTGTAATTGGTTTCTTTCTTGAATAAAACCATATCTGTGTGCTCTTCTTATAAATTCAACCCTAACAACTTGAGCTAATAAATCAAAATAACCTTATCTCTGGCAAGTCTAAAACTAATCTGAAGCTAAGTTGATATATTAATAAAATCTTAAGGATTGTGGCTTATCTCTAAGGCACCCACTGGGGCACTGCTGCACGCCGCAGTAATTAGCAGCAAAGGACCAAAGGTACAATATCACGTGCTAGAGTACTCAGATGAGTTTATCGGTATGATATCATATGGATAGTTTTTCTAGGGCTAGGAGCACATGAATATGTGTAGGTATGAAAGCGGTCGGAAACGGTCGATAACAATATCTTCTATATGGTAATGGTAACAATTCGTCATCGGTCAGAAACTCACCAGTCACCATATTGTCAATTTAACTATTTAGTGCTGAAAGTTTGAAAATAAAACGTAATGGTCAGAAACAGTCATAAAAGATATCTCTTGTACCGTTGCACGGAAACCATTTCCATTTTCATCCCTAAATATGCCTGTCCAATTTTTTCCTTATGCATGTCCCAATGTTTTTGAGGCGCCGCGGCGAGGCGTGGCGCCCGACCCCCTTCACAACGCCTAGGCGTTTGTGGCGGACGCCTAGGCGACACCATACACACATTGTAAGGCGTTGTAAGCTAGAATTTTATATACTAGTGCAGCACATACATACCTCGTTTGTTGCCAATTCTTGAGCCCATATTCAGAAAGTGCATGAGCAGCAGCAGAGCATAGCATAGCATATCCAGATTCAGAGCAGAGCACGAGGAGACAAAACAGAGAGTATACAATATTCGATTTTTAGAGCAGCAGTACAAGCAGCGCGCATGTAAGAGTGGGTGGCGTGCAGCGCAATGCACCTTTGGGCGCCAAGAGCAGAGCATAGCATAGCATATCCGTCGACGCCAAGAAGCAGAGTAGAGCATAGCATATCCGTCGATGCCAAGCTCCAGACGCTCTGCCAGAACATCGCCGCGTCCAAGAAGGGCGCCAAGAAGCCCGCCTCGCCGGCCGCAGCTTGCTGCCACGTCGTCGTCCACCCCCACACCAGCAATCGCTCCTCTTCGCCGTCCTCCTCCGACGCGTCCTCTCGCCCCGCCGAGTCCGCAACAGTCCTCATGCCCGTCCCGTCGCCATCCGCCTCCCAATCGCCGACGGTGCGGGAGATGCAAAGAATGGACTTCAATGAGGCGCCAGGACGAGGCCGCCGCCGCTTCAAGCCACAGCCACCAAGTACCCGTCATACGAGATTTGGAAAAGCAGTGGAGGCGGGGGGGGGGCATACAGTGGAATAGCAGAGTGGAGGCGGGGGCATACCAGCGGAAGGGGACCCGACGGAGAAGATGCAGTGCCGGCTCCAGCGGCGGGCGGCCGGCCGGTGGACACGAGCAGAGTAGCAGCCCAGCGGAGGTCGAGGTCCGTCCGCCGCCTTCTTTCTTCCTCTCCCTTCTCCCTTTTCGCCTCTTTTTCCGCGGGCGTGCGGTTGATTCCCGCGCCTCTTCCTTTTCCCGTGGGCGTGCGGTCGATTCCTGCGCGCGCTCTTCCTTTTCGACCGGCATCCGGCGTCCGCCCGCGGTCGATTCGCGCCTGGCGGCGCGCTCCTTCCTATGGGCGCCGCCATCCTCACGAGGTCAGCATCCGCCCTGTGCCCTCGACGCGCCTTTCGCGCCTAGGCGACGCCTCAAAACATCCATATATACCCCATGGCAGCGGATGCCATAACTTTTCCCTGAATGCTATCTGAGGCCAATTTTTGCCACAACATGTCCATCACATTTGCGCAGCCAGCATTGAATTTGATCCTAAAATGCACGTTCTTATTGATCTCATTGTTTCTGTTGTACACCTCTGTTTTGTTATTTTGCATCAATATCGTTCTACTTATGCTTATGCATGGTGTTATATTGAGTGCCGACTATTTTATTTCTTAATAACTTAGCTTTTAGAAGAGTCTCTTGATCCATTGTCCAAAGAGAGAGAGAGCTTGTTGCAAGAGTATAATGCTTTGAAGCAAAGGTTCGATGAAGAGTATCATCAGCTGGCAGAAAGAAAAAGGGACTTCCAGCAAGAACTTGATGCACTTGGAAGACTCAATATGAAGATCAAAGGGTATAGTATCCTTTTCCATTTCTCAGATTTTCATTTATCCTACTTTTACAGCTTATTGGTAACCTGAAAGTATCCTCTCAGGTACTTGGATTCCAAGAAAATCGAAAGGCTTAAGGAATTGCAGGGAAAGCATGCTCTTTGCTATTCTCAGTTGCAGAACTGCAAGGCAAAACACAAAGACATATCAGCTGAGTTAAACAAGAACAAAGAACTACAGCAGGGCCAGGGACAGTTGAAAAGAAACATTGATGACAATCTCAACTACAGGAAAACAAAGGGTGACGTGGAACGACTTACTCGTGATATAGAATCACTTGAAGAGAGGGTGCTTTCAATAGGTAGCTCGTCTGCTATAGAAGCTGATTTGAAGCGTCATTCTCAAGAAAAAGAGAGGCTTAATTCAGAGGTATTGTTTATTCACAGTAGCAATTAAGAAAAATTGCCTCTAATATGACAACATAGCCTTATATACTTTCATTCAGATAAAGCATGGTATTTGGTATGTGGAGTGAAAATGTTTAAATCGGAATGAAATTTTACTTGTATAAAGTGGAAATCATGAAATTGATCTGTGTGGATATGCTTGTAGTTTAACAGGTGTCAAGGAACACTTTCTGTTTATCAAAGTAATATTTCAAAGCACAAACAAGAGCTTAAACAGACACAGTACAAGGATATTGAGAAGCGATATACTAATCAACTTCTCCAACTTAAGGTAGATGACATGGTATTGCAGATTCACTTCCTGTGATTCCAATATTTTTCTGTTCATCTAATCTGAGGTGGTTGCAGACAACTGAAATGGCAAACAAGGACTTGGACAGATATTATACTGCTTTAGACAAGTAAGTACCGTGGAGCGTCATTACTTCCTGTTTTGTTCTCGAAGATTTTCATTGATTTTCTTAACATTATTTACTTTACTTTTGAAACTTGTAATTTGACCCCTTGCGATGACGATTAGCATGATTTCCTTCAAAGTGGTGAAAATATATAATTTATTACTCCTATGAGTCTTATTGGCCAAATAGGCATTATGGACAGACACCCCCCCCCCTTCAAAGTTGTAATAATACCCTAAAAATATGTAATTTACAGCAGCAGTCTTATTGCCCTCTAATAGTTGAAGTTCCTTTTGTCAGAAAATTCATGGTTGCCATAATACTGATGTGTTTAGTGTACGTTGAAACACATTGCGAATTGAAAACTGTGCAACCTTATTATATCATGCAAACTGAAACACCTAAGTACATAGGAACACGTGAAAGATGAGCAGTACTGTCGTGGCCCAATGCGCTAGACTTGGGGCGTACACAATGCAGAGAGCTCCCGCTCTGTGCGGGGTCTGGGGAAGGGTGTTAGTGGCAAGCCTTACCCTCGCCTGTGCAATGCGAGGAGACCGCGACTCGAACCCGGGACCTTCCGGTCACAGGCGGTAAGACTCTACCACTTGCACCAGGCTCAATGCGCTAGACTTGATGTGAGTAAAACAGAATATAGATGTGGCATTATGATTTGACATGGTACTTGCAAATTTGGCTTTTTGAGCTACCATAGGGTTTTAAGTTTCTGTTTGATTATGCAAATGGTCGACAAAACCCCATCCCAGCTTTGATAAGGTTTCTAAACCTCCCGAAAGCAACCTGGATTTTATCAAGTTCCCCGTTAACCTTGACCACGGTAGCAACCCTACATGGGTTAGGGTTGCCCACAGGGGCATTGATAATGATAATATGTTACTTGTTCCTGAAACCCATTATTATTTTCTCTTGAACATACATAGGAGATGTATATTTTCATTAAGAAGAGGTCAACACACCCATACACAACAAACTAGAAAAAGAATGATAATCACGCCAACACCTACACACATCCGACTTGAGACAGAACAATAAGCACACCACTATCAAAAGCATGGAAACACCCATGATCAGCCTATGGAGCTGCCTTGTACCTGCTGTGCATGATAAGGTGGGTCCTCTGAGACTGAACCTCACAGCCATGCTTGTAGTTGGAGAAGTGCGATTGAATATGCACTTGCTATGATGTGCCCAAATTTACCAAGAAACTAAGATGATCAAGAGTTGAGCCCTTTTCTAAGCTGCTTGCCGACCTGCTTTAGTGCCTGGCAGCACCAAGAGGAGAATTCAGCCTAGGCAGTCAGTGGTACCAATCCTTAATGTCTATCCTGCTAAAGGATGGCGAACCAACAAACTTTTTTGGACTCTGGAGGAGGAACCCAAGAGATTACCAGGCGTTGTCTGGTCTCATCTGCTTGATCACATTGACGGCAACATGCTGGGTGTAGCAGCCCATGCTGCAAGCCTATCAGGCTATCAGCTGTCCAGCACCAGTTAATAATAGCCAACCATACAAAGAATTTGCAGCACAAGGGCGCCCAATATTTCCAAATCCTTTTCTGAGGAGCAAAACCTGATTTTCCCACATAGAATGCCTCGTATGCTGACTTGCAGGAGTAGGTTCCGGATGCAGATAACTTCCACACATGCTGATTTGCATATACTCCAGAATTGCATGTACCAATGAGGAGCCCCTGATATCACTAATGCAGCGGCGATTAACGATTATGTTATGATTTCATTTTTTTCTCAAAAAATATTGGTCTAATAACTGTGTAGTACAAGCCAGATGAATCCATTCATGTTTCATTTGTCTAATATCAATTATAACATATTAAGATTAAGGTCCTCTTTGGTGGGGCTTTGCCTGGCTTCAGCTTTGGCACTGTTCATGCACTGTAGCTGCTGTATCATGAGCGGTGAAGCCCCAGAACAATGGCTTCAACACCTAGTTCATTTTGCTGCAAATGGCGGCTCCACGCTATAGTGACTCATTAGTGGCACTAAGTATCTTAACAGCGTCTTTACCAGAGAAGCTAAAGCCCTTTTAAGGTATGCCAGAAAGGCCCTAAAATTTACTCCGTATCAAATCTAGGGCTATATTCAGACAGGCTTAATAGCTGTTGATTTTAAGTGTATGAAGGCCCATCCAATATAGGCCCATATAGCCCATGTCTCTCTCTCTATATATAGTCATCTCCACTCTGGAGTGTTTATCTTCTCAAATCCTAAGGTATGTAACATGGTACCAAAGCTATGGAATAGGGTTAGACTCATTTGATCTACTCCTGTCATGATCCATTTTTTTTTTGGTGCGGCCTGTCATCACCCGTCTCGTGATGTGGTCCGTCGCCACCCGCCTATCGCGTGACCCTGTGTTTTCCCCCTTGTCCGCGCGTCATCCACGCGGCACCCATCCACGCGCCTCCTCCCGCACAGGTCTGCCCCCATCCGTGCCTCCCGTGCGGGTCCGGCCCCATCCGTGTCTCTTACTCCTGCGCGGGCCATCCGGAATCTGCTCGGTGTCCGCTGTCGTCCGCTCGGCCTGTGCGCACCGTCTGCTCTACTCCGGTGGTGTGCGCTCTGTTCTGGGTGTGCTCTGCTCTGCACTGTGATTCTGCTAAGGAGATGTGGGGCTATCTATAGGGGGGATATGTTTAGAACAGTGGTGCTCTTTTGCTCACACTGATGCAGGGACTTCATGACCTTCAGTAGAATGAGATGTCCATAGAGGAGTATTACACCGCCTTTGATTGTGTGATGGGACCTTTTCTCTCCATGGTTCCTAAGCATTAGAAAGGCTGTTTGACCCTGCTGACCAGACACTTGCCGAGGAAGACAACGTCCCGCTGGTGCTCGTGCTTGCTGGTGTCGATGTCGTCGGCATGGTCGCTGTCGCTGTACCCTATGAAATGCGCCACGCTGGGACACCTTGGGTAGTGCAGCCCGTAGTCGGAGGTGCCCGTGATGTAGCACAGAATCCTCTTGACGGCCTGCTGATGTTCCACCGTCGACCGCTGCATGAACCGACTGACATAGACGATGGCGAATGCAAGGTTCGACCAGGTGTGCACGAGGTAGCTAGGCTGCCGACGATCTGCCGGTATTGTGTGGTGTCCACCTCCTCAACCGTGCTGTCCTGGCTTAGCTTCAGCCTTCTCTCCATTGGAGTTTGGGATGGATTGCAACCGGTGAGGCCACCCAAGTTGACGATGCGACGGGCGTAGGAGGTCTGGCGAAGATAGATGCCGGAGTTGTCCTGGTGGCCCCAGATAGAAGGAGAGAAGCCCAAGATCACTCATCTGGAAGACGACCTTCATCTCGGCCTTGACTGCCTCCACCTCTTCTTCCTTGGTGCCGGTGATCACCAAGTTGTCGACGAGTAGTGTAGAGCTTCCTCTGCACTCCGGTGGACCACGCCCTCGTGTGTGCTCTGCTGGAAACCCATCTTCAGTGTGGCGTCCAGCTTCGCGTTCTAGGCCCGTGGGGCGCCAGCCGTAGAGTGCTTTGCGTAGGCGGACAACCTTGTTCTCTTTGCCGATGATGACGAATCCTGGCGGCTGGCGGATGCAAACCTCCTCCTTCAAGTCACCGTTGCGGAAGGCGGACTTGACATCCATGTGGTGGACGCGCCATCCTTCTTGAGCTGCCAGCGCGAGGAGGACGCGGACTGATTCCATTCGCGCGATCGGTGCGAATGCATCGTGGAAGTCGACTCCTTGCTGGACGAACCTGCGCGCCACCAGACGCTCCTTTTGCTTGATCACGGCCCCGGCCTCATCCCTCTTGAGCTTGAAGACCCATTTCCGCTCGACGGCGTCATCTCTTGCTACATTGCAACGCACAAGGTAGCGTCACCCTCTGCTTCAGCGAAGGAGCACGGCTCGCTGTCAGCCCCGATGTCGTGCCCCGCGAACCCAGGGAATGGCAAATTGCCGAGGATGTTGTCCATGGTGCGGTAGCGTAGGGGTTCGCCATCGTGGTGGGCGCCGACGCGGTCTTCGTCGTTGGACAGCGGCGTGGTGAACGCCACCGTGTTGTCGTGGACCGGTGCTGATGGAGCCGATCCTGGAGGCATGGATGCCAAAGCCAGGGATTGGGGCATTGCCGGCGGTGTAGGTGCAGGAGACCCCGCCGGTGCTGGTGGCGAACCAGGAGCTGGGGGAGATTGGGATGGAGATGGTGAGCCACCAACTCCCCCAGCTGCTTCAACGTGGATGTACTTGACGGTGAAGTCGCAACCAAATAGGGATGGCAACGGGGCGGAATCGGATCGGGTGGAGTCTCTGTGCACCTGAACCCGAAACCCGAAATCGAAACCTAAAACCGCACCGAACACCGATTCGGATGATAATCCGTCCCCAATACCAAACTTGGGATACCCGAAACCCGAATGGATACTTGAAACCCGCTTTGTATGGCAACATAGTAAGAGCAATAAGGACTTTCTACAAACATTTGCATGATATATATACACATATTCACATGTATAAGCAAGAGGCAACAAATAATAATTAATATTTTCATGAGTCAACTTAGAATAAATTTAATAATCTAAGTAAACAAGTTATTATTAGCATATTATAAAACATGAGTTTTAATTCCAAATGATTTATTTCGGATATCCATTGGATATCCACGGGTGGAAAACCAAACCCGAAACCGAACCGATTCGTCGTCCACCGCCTTGCTCCATGCCGCCGCGCTCCTTGACTTCGATCGTCGACGTTGTTGAGCTCCTTGACTAACGCCAGGTAGCTGAAGACCCTTAGGTAGCTAACTGCCGGCTTGCGCTCATGCCAGGCCTCGTAGGGCGTCTTGCCATCGAGTGCCTTGGTCAGTGATCTGTTGAGCAGGTGCACAACGGTCATCACGGCCTTGCCGCAGTAGATCGCCGGCATGCCACGCTGCTTGAGAGCGTGCGCCGCGGCCACCACGGTCTCATTGCGGCACTTGAAGACGTCGTTCTGCTGCGGGGAGTAAGGCGCAGAGTAGTGGCGCTGGATGCCCTCATCGGCGCAGTATGTCGCAAACTCGGCCGTCGTGAATTTTGCCGCCGTTGTCCGTGCGCAGGACCCGAAGCTGGTGGCCACACTCCGTGGTTGCTTGGTGGCGCTTGATGGCGTCCGCTGTTGCCGCTTTGGTGTCGAGCAGCACCGCCCACATGCAGCGAGAGACGTCGTCGACGAAGAGGTGGAAGTAGCGTCGTCCTCTAGGTGTGGCCGGAGTCACTGGACTGCAGAGGCCACCGTGCACAAGCTCAAGCTTTTCCTTGGTGCGATAGTTGGCTTGGTGCGATAGTCACCACGCAAGTGTCGCAGAGCTGGTCGACGTGCGACATGCCTAGCACCATCTCCCGCTTGCTGAGCTGCCTCAGGGCATCGAAGTGAAGATGCCCGAAGCACTCATGCTAGCACCATGCCTCATCATCCCGCCGCGCGACAAGACAGAGGGGTTGCGCCACTTGCACATGAAGCACGTAAAGTTGGTTGCTCCCCCGGTTCACCTTGTTGAGAAGGCGTCGCTTTCTATCCCAGATGCGCAGCACACCGTCCTCAATCTCCAAGCGCGAACCATTCTCGTCCAGCTGCCCTATGCCGAGGGTGGAGCTCCTCAAGGCGGGGATGTAGTAGACACCGGTGAGAAGCTGATGCTCCCCCGTCTTGGCCTTGAAGATGATGGAGCCGACGCCCTTGATCTCGGCAATGAGGTGTACCTAATACCAGTACCTAAGGAGGTGGAACTAATAACCATCGAACGCTAAAACTCCCGAACGGACAAGAGCACTCTCAAGCTTCTTGCCCGAACGACGGGGTTTGTTCCGCCTGCCCGACGCCTGTGGGCAGCTCGCCACCCCCGGCGACGGTGGAGGATCGGCTCCCACCTCACCCGAGGGTGAGGCTCGGCTCCGCCTCCTCGCCGAGGGCTAAGGTTGAACTCCGCCTCGTCCGACCCCGAGGTATAAACTCCGCCTCGCCCGACGCCTGCCTGGGCTAGCCGCCTCGCCCGAGGGCTTAGGGCTCTAACTCCGCCTCGTCCGACCCCCGAGGGCTGGGCTCGGCCTCGCCCCATGGATAGAAGCTAGGCTCCGCCTCGCCCGACGTTCGAGGACGGACCTCGCCTCGCTGATGTCCAAAGGTGGCTCCGCCTCGCGCCGACAACCGCACCCCCGCCTCATGATGATGATAGGCATGTGGTAAGACAAGACGTTGGGTCAACCACGGCATCGAGGACCATGCCTTGCGCCCTGCGCAGAAAAGTATCGTCGAGCGTGACAGACGGGCGCTTAGACCCTTCTAGGCGTGGCAGAGCCTGAATAGTGTTGCAGGCGCGTGCCCTTCGCCCTACAGTGTTGTAGGCGCCGCCTTCAGCCTCCGGGCGAAGAACCCGACACGGACATACGACAACCACTACTTTCCAAGGGGACTCCGTCCTCTCTGATGGCAAACGAAAGGTCCACTACGCTATCCGCTCCCCACGTGGTCGAGATCGACAACCTGTCGTGACTCGACATGCCAGCATGGGCGGGGCAGACGCGCCCACTTGCTAGATGAGGCGTGGCATGGCCTCACGAAGATCAACAACCACGCCACTCGACACGGTCTCCATATTATGCGAGGCGGCGCGGGAAAAAAGGGAGACCCGGATCCTTCAAGGACTTTCTATACTGTGGTGGTATTTCCTCTTTCTCTCATCTCAGAACCCCGCTCCCCCCTTGGTCTATAAAAGGGAGGCGGGGCTCCCCACTAGAGGGACCGACTTTTGACGGACAACTCACACACAAACGAACTCATAGAGCTCGGTTCGACACATCACGCACACGTACCAGCCGCCACTAGGCTCTTGGCATCCTTTCAACCCTTCTATCGAGACACGGGACCAGTCCCTCTCTCGACCGTTTGTACCCCCTACTACGAACCTCTTTCGGGTGCTAATAACACGAGCGACAGAATGTGACCGGACGTAGGGACATTCAGCCCGAACCAGTATAAACCTTGTGTCCTTTAGCGCACCATCCGGGCCCAACGCGCATCAATTATAAATTTACTAGCCGGTGCTTGTTCGAAACACCGACAGGAGGCGTCACTGAATTTGATGGAGCCTCGCACGCCGGAGTCCAAGTCGGAGAAGAACTCGCGCCGCCCGGTCATGTGGTGCGTAGCGCCGGTGTCAAGGTACCAACCGTCGATCTTGTCATTGTTGGACCTGTTGCGGAGGAAGACGCATGTGCGCGGCTCGTCGAGGTGGAGTAGGGCGGAGCCAGGTGACGCGGTATGGGAATAATTTGAACTTTTCTCCCCCCCCCACCCTATGCTAGTCTTGCCGCAGTTGAGGCAGGTATCATCACGGCCGCGCCTCCATCAGTTAAGCCACCCTGCGCTCGGGGTGCCTTGTCCTCCTTGCGCGATCGACGACGACGCCAACTCGATGATGCTGATGAGCTATAAGCCTCCCCCTTTCTCGTCTCCTTCTGGCGGGCGAGCCACTCCTAGGCCGCCCAGTCACCTGGATGGTGAGCTCGGAGAAGTCCAGGAGCGTCCATTGCAAGGGCGATCCGGGAGTACTTCTCGGGGACGACGTGGAGAAGCTTCTCGACCGCCTTATTCTCAAGACTTATGCTTTCAGCCACTACTACTTCAGAGATTGTATGGCTTCGATGGTTATTAGCTGACTTTGGGATTTCTTGTGAAGCAGCCGCACCTCTTCTATGTGATAAACACAGGAGCCATACAGATTGGCAATGATCCTGTGAAGCATGAACTTACAAAGCATATCACTGTTGACGCATTCTTTACTCGATATCATTACCATTAATACACTATTGCTCTTCAGTATGTGCCCTCAGAACTTCATTTGGCCGACTTCTTCACTAAAGCACAAACTCGAGAGCAGCATCGTCTTCACTTGCTCAAACTCAATGCTTCAGATCCTCTGCTTCCACCTTGACACACCTTGAGTTTGAGAGAGGGGGGGGTTGGGGGGTGGTTAAGTGTATGAAGGCCCATCCTGTATTGGCCCATGTGTGTGTCTCTCTCTCTATATATAGTCATCTCCACTCTGGAGTGTTTATCTTCTCAAATCCTAAGGTATGTAATAGTTGAAAGAAAGTAGAGAATGGACATGTCTTGTTGGTAGATTTAGCTAGTTCCTCAATGCTATCGTTAATAATTGACTACACACTTGATTATTTTTTAGGGCAGTAGCTGATACATAGTTGCCTTTCTTATTTTGAATTTCCTTATTTGACATGCTCACATTTTCTGCCAGGGCTCTTATGCGGTTCCACAGCATGAAGATGGAGGAGATAAATAAAATAATCAAGGAACTGTGGCAGCAGACATACAGAGGCCAGGATATTGATTACATAAGCATAAATTCTGATTCTGAGGGTGCTGGCACTCGATCATACAGCTACCGTGTATGTTGAGCTAGTTATTCCTAGAGTAAAATCACTTTCTTTAATTTGTTTTTCTGAGTCCTGCACAATCTTTAGGTTGTTATGCAAACGGGTGATGCTGAGCTGGAAATGCGAGGGCGCTGCAGTGCTGGTCAGAAGGTAAAATATTCTGTCTTCACGAACTTCAACTGTGCAGCATATGTTATGTGGTCATATTTTAATCAAAAGGATTTGCTGAATATTTCTGAAGCTAACAGAGCCAGATCTTGACAATGTTATCTGCACTTATCTTCAGGTTCTTGCTTCTCTTATAATCAGACTAGCACTTGCAGAAACTTTCTGTCTGAACTGCGGCATATTGGCTTTGGATGAGCCAACTACGAATCTAGATGGTCCAAATGCGGAGAGCCTTGCTGCTGCTCTGTTGAGGTACTCCTTTAGGCAACAATATCTCACTGTCACTAATTTACCATCAGGTTGAGTTTGTAACAGAATGTATATCTCTCGCTCAGAATAATGGAAGCCAGGAAAGGGCAGGAGAACTTCCAGTTGATTGTAATCACTCATGACGAGAGATTTGCCCATCTTATTGGTCAAAGGCAGCTTGCTGAGAAGTACTATCGCGTCTCCAAGGATGAAAAGTAAGTAGTGCTTTCGCTGTTTTGGATCCATCGGGATATCGTTTGGTGACTGAACCTACTACTTCAATAAATAATCTTAACAAATACTTGATGTGGAAACATACAAATACTGATTCACGTTTGACCAAACCATGCAGCCAGCACAGCATAATTGAATCCCAAGAGATATTTGACTGAAGGTGGTTCTTAGAGGCTGTATGTAGCACACATTTTCCAGTCGAATTCAGTTAATTAGTGCCAAGTATTGGTGCCAAAGCAATAGAGAGCTTTAGGGTGTGACTGAGAACTTGTTATTCTGGCTGCGTTACCTCAGTTACGTGTACCCTGTCCTTCGTCGCTGTATATAATTAATTAATGAAGCCAGAGGATGGAATGTATGCACTGATGAGCGCTGCTGCTTACATGTTCCACGACATCAACGAATGTAGTATATCTCAATCTAGCATCCGTTTTTCCTTAACATGTCAAGATACAAAATCGTTACGGTTTCATTTGGTTTTGGAAGTACCTACGAGTAATACAACGGCATGTTTCTACGTCTGTCTAGTCATTTGCGTATACGACCATGAGTTTGAGCCGTTGGATTCGTTTGTGACATTCCTTGTAACGGTGCTCAATCTGTTGCAAGTTGCAACTGTGATATGCGGTTAGGCTGCAGGAGTAGCCAGAACAACTGTCATATGTTCGGATGTGTAATTCGAAGAGTACGCCGTTAATCAATCAAACATATGTATAGGATTCGGATGTTACAACTTGGCATATCCGACAACGACATCGGCCACGCTAATTACCGCGACTTTTTATTTTTAGTAAAAAAAAATTCCATAACTTTTCTTTTTTGGAAATTTTTCTATTTTTGGCAAAAAAAAAAATCTATAACTTTTTTTAAAGCTACAAAGTTATACTCATAACTTTTACCTACAACTTTTTGAATAAACTTAAACGTCTAAGTTATACATATAACTTATACACATGATTTCAATATATACCTTCAACGTTAAAAGGTTATTGACAAAGTTACACACATAACTCATACATATAACTAACTACGTGATAAAGTTATATACATAACTTTTATGAATAATATTTTATGGAACAAACTTATAACATAATTTCATTAAAAGCTATAAAGTTATACACAAAACTTTTATGTATAACTTATTTGTATAATTTAGATATATAACTTGATGAATGATTTAGAGTAAAGTTAGACCTATAAGTTATATTTAAAAACTTAGATGTACAAATTAATATCATAACATATTAGTAAAAATATAAAAACTCTATATCAAAATAAGTATGTAGTATAACTTATAAATATATAACAAAAAAGAGAAAAAATGGTAAAAAAACAAAAAAAGGAAGAAAAAAGGAACGTCCGTGCAGGTATAGTCATGTCACCGAATGAATCTGACTAGCAAAAAATTATTCAATCAACTTGTGTGTATAAGTTATAAGTCATAAGTTATACAAAAGTAATACATATAAATTTTAACTAGAAAAAATTATTCAAAACATATACAAGTGGGGTTTAGTTTTGTTCGCCTCGTCGCGTAGAATATGCCGGTGCAGACGGATTTAAAAATAGATACACCGTTTAGAAGTTATAGCATTTTTAAATAAATGTTTCGCCTTTTTTGTCACGTCAGCGGTGAGCAGAGGAGTGGCGCATCGTTCGCTGCGTTCGTTCTGAGTGAATGAACGCCCGATTGGAATTGGGTAAGGCACGCAGGAGGACATGTACACACGTCCAATAGCACCAAGAAATGAAGGGAAGGGAAAGGTGTATAATCCAAGAACGATAAAGTTTCGTCACGGGCGTCCGCCCCCATTTGGACGCCGCGTGACTCGCTCGGACCGCCGTGGTCATCCACTTGATCACTCATCCCACTCCCCCACCACCCCGCTCTACTCACTCCTAAAAAACCCTACTCTGTCCACTCTATTGGACGCCGTGGCCATCCCTGCGTGCGCTCGACCGCCTAATGCCGCCACCCATCTTGTGCTGCGCAGCACCGCCCCGCGCCCACTCCACCTCCGCGCGGCCATCCACTTTGTCTCTGGCTGGCCATCCATGCGGCCTCCGCGCGCCCCACTCCACCTCCGCGCCGCCATGGCATGCACCGTCACCACCACCCCCGCGCCACCAAGAAAAGGTCATCACCACCGGGACATCGTCTCCCGCGGCCGGCTGAAGACACCACGACAGGGAGGATCCATATGTTGCAAATGCATGTTTCAAGTGTTTTAGACGTTTCAGAAGTATGTTGCAATTGTTTCATCTTGATGTTGCAAAAGTAGATTGGGGGATGTTGCACATGTTGCATATGTTGCAAGTGTTTCAGAGGAATGTTGCAAGAATTTGTTCAAAATGTTTCACCTGTTTCTAAACATATGTTGCAATCGTTCTGATCTGGATGTTTCATATGCTTCACACAAATGTTGTAATAATATGTTCCAAATATTTCAGCTGTTTCAGTCTTATATTGCAGCAAGTTGTTCCATGTTGCAAGTTGCAAGTGTTTTATTCGAGCGCTTTATTGCACGTGTTGCATATGTTGCAAGTGTTTCAAAGGCATGTTGCAAGCATTTGTTTAAAATGTTTTACCTGTTTCTAGATGTATGTTGCAATCGTTTCGATCTGGATGTTTCATATGCTTCACACAATGTTGTAGTAATATGTTCTAAATGTTTCAGCTGTTTCAGTCTTACGTTGCAGCAAGTTGTTCCATGTTGCAATTTGCAAGTGTTTTATTCGAGCGTTTTATGTTGTTCGCCGGGGTCAGGGGGTCGATGATGGGGCGCCATGGTCGTGAAGGCGGGCGTGCTCATCAGCGCAGCGTGGGGTGGTGCAAAGGGTGGACGCGACAGTCATGGGTGAGTGAAGGCGTGGCGCGCCGAAGGGCTAGCTAGGCGCTGATCCAAAGAATTGAGTCATTGATGTCATAGTGTAATAATCTTCTTAAAATCATAGGATCATATCTTGCATAAGCAGTGGGTAATAATTTGTCCAAGTTCATTGTTCTTGAACTGTGGCTCCGCCCCTGGGGCTAGCAGACTGGGGCGTTGGGGGTTGGCGGACGGGGGTGCTGCGTTCGAGGGGGCACGCTAGGGGCGTGCTCGTTCGGGCGTGGGGCAAGGGCGAAGGTGGATGCGGTTGGGCTGAGCGGGCGTTTGGACACGCGCAGCGCGCCGGACGTCCGGACGCTAGACACTCCTATCCAAGAAATGAAGGGAAGGGAAAGGTGTATAATCGATCTCAGTCCATAGTGATCGAGTTCTTGTGGAGGGAGGTTAATGCCTTGGACTCCTTAGTAATGCGGCCCATGGGAAATAAAGCTCTAATACATACTGCAACGAAAATTTTCGAGCACCAAGTTTATATTCGTTCTATTGTATATTCTTTGCGTCATACTCTATACATCATGACCAATTAAGTGTGACTATCTCCGACGTGAATACCATTACAAATACATGTTAGTCATAACATTTGTATTCAATCACTAAAATCCTAAGTCACCAAATTAGAGCCCAGATGCGTTCGACAACACTTCCATACAACCACGGTAAGCCGACACTTTGTGTTACGCGGGAAGAGCTCACATCGTAACAATCCATCCGTAGATGTAGAGGAGTCAGCCTCGATAGTGGCAGCCTTACGTAGAATTCGACTATGAAAAAAAAAATTCAAGAAAGTGCTATACTTTTTTAGGAACTCCATATCGGCAAAATCATATATGAAAAACGATACTTAATCCCTCAAGATTCATAAATAACACACCTTGACAACTCATGCAAAATATATCCTTTTCTTTTCTATTGGAACACACCGTCATATTTACTGTTAATAGAGGGAGGAATATTCACTACCACAGATTCAATTTTTAGCAATGCCTCCTTGAGTAGAGGCGGTTCAATCTAGTCGTCTTTACAAATCGGTCCGAATCAGACCGTCTCTAGAAATGCATTTGTAGAGGCAGCCAATGGCTGGATCTCGAGCCACCTCTAAAAATCAATTTGTAAAGGCGGCTAGATTTAGAGTTGTCTTTAAAAATAGGTGCAACATAATAAAATTTGATATTTTTCAAACGACCTCGGATGGAAACGACCAAAATCAAAATCGTAGATCTCAATGGTTATATGACTTTCTAGTTGATAACTTTTTTTATTTAAAATCATCTATTCGAGAAAAATTATGTTTGAATTTCTTACATTTGAAATTCACATTTTTCAAATGATGTTCTCGGATGGAGAAACGACAAAAACCAAAGTTGTAGATCTCGACGATTCTAAAACTTTGCAGTTGAAAACTTCTTTCTTTGAATTTGTTTTGTCGACGGCAAAAAGCGAACTCGCCGCCGGCACATGTAGCAAGCCGAGAGAAATCGCGTGGAGCAGATCCCGAGCTCTCCCCAAACTTAGGAGGACACCGGACCGGATGGTCGTGACCTAGGGCGTGCCAGTCAATTTGACCCTATAATTGATAAGAAGAGAACGGTAATCAGTAATTTAAGGTGGACCATGTCGGTGTTGCTGCAGACAATTCCAAATGTGCGGCTAGATAGCCGATTCGATGAGGCTATCGACTAAATAGTCGATATCCTGCATGTTCATAATATAAGATATTGAAAACGAACACTATCGGCAATTATTAGATATTAATGATATAAATCTAATACCAATGATCATAAAACTTGTAAGAACATGGTAGAGAGCTGATATGAGTGAAAGCATTTGCATTTACTATACCCTGTATTAGCTTAAAGATCAAGACAAGAACAAGTACAATAATAAAAGCCAATATATTTGCAATGCATAGGCCATCGGCAAAATAGCCGACTCCAGAGTAAACATATATATATATCACGTGATCAATCACTTATCTAGTATAAATGGATCTACGAGCTCATCAAATCTAACTTATCATCATTAACAGAGGGGGTTGAGCGGATCGAAGATAGCCATAATAATGATAACAAGTTAAACTCTTAAAACACAGGTCTATCCATACTTAGATGAGATTATGAGCACGTGTTATGGGCATGAAAGCATAAGCAACTGGCCAGGGGCCGATCTAAATGGTTTTTATCATGTAGCATGCGAACGTTCAACCACCGAAGCATAAGTAAATCTACAAACCGACCAAACCCAATTTACGGCACTATCAATAGGTTGAC